CTAAGTGTTTAGTATACGGTCCCTGAAAAAAACTTAGATGCGCGTACAATTATTGGCCATTTATTAATTGTTCCCCGCTTGTCCGAATCCGTCTGTTTGGGCAGAAGCGGAGCGTAGCTACATAAACCCCATTTTTAGCTGCGGTCGGAAGCATTGTCGGATGCTCTCTTTATCTCTGGTTCATCCTCTCTTTTTTAAGTCAAGATAAATGCCTTTGTATCTAGCAGAAAATCACCATTGTTCCACGACAGGGAATCGGGATTTCGGAAACAGACCAAGAACTGGCAAGAGAGCTGACATTGAGGAATAAGGTCAGAATGATAAGTACATTGCATTTATGTGTTCTTGACAATTTTTCTTTGTCAAATCAGATTGATTTTGAAAAAAAGATGTCATCTAAGTAGATGGGCAAAATTAGGAATTTTCGAAAATTTGTCTTCTCTAATCTGTTGTTTGTTATACATAACGATTAGCTTTTCAACATTTAATGGCACTTACTACAGTTACCCCTTAAGTACGTCTTAAACAATATGTGAAGGTCACCTAAATAAAAATTTTGGAAGACTTTTTATAAAACAGTACGACGAATTGTTAATGGACACTAACTGCGTTGCTAAGAAAGGACTGCTGGGGATCAAATGAATTTACATATTTTTATGTAGTTAACTGCGGCATGGGGATAGAAGCATTCAGATACCAGTGTGCAGATAGATACACATTAGATACGTAACCCCCTCCTCTCAGGGCGCATTCAGAACCGTGAACTAACTAGTCCGAGGGTCAAATATGGCCGGAACACTCGAATACTTTCCCACGAGGCATCTATTCATTGTCTGTTAGCGGATTAGACGGCAAGCTTTGTCCCAATGCAGAATGGATGATCCGAGTTCTTACTAATCCACCGACTAAATATGGCTGACCACAGTTGAAAAGCGACGTCGCTGGTTCCTGATGGCCTCCCCGCCTCCACACGCGCCGTCTCTGCAAGGGCTTAGCAATTAAACTTCGGAGCAGAGATTTAATCCTTTTAAAGGCGCGTGTGGTAGGGGCGAGCATCAGGAATCAGCGGCATCGCTTTTGAACTGTGGTCGGCCATATTTTGTCGGCGGATCAGTTAGTTCTCGGATCATCCATTCTGAATGGGCCTTTTTTGTGGGTCGCCATATTTGACCCCAGAACTGGTTTGTCCACTGTTCTGAATACGGCCTAACAGATCCGCAGATCTAATAGGGCGACCCACTAAAAAGCTTGCTGCTTAAAGGGATAATAACTATTCCTTTTGGTCAAAAAAATGAAATTTCCTGTAGTAAACAGCAAATTTCCCATACTTACTAATGGTTAATGAATCCATTTCTACATTCAAAGTAAGTCCCTGTTTTTTTTTCTAAAAAGTTCGTTTTTTTTTTTTTTGTAATAATCTCTTTAGAGATTGTTACAGAGTATAGCCATCTTTGGAAGTCATGTGGTCCGATGACAAGCTCAGATATCAGAATAATAGCTATAACTGCCGTTTTTGTGGTAAAACAGAACATATTATATTTCTATGAGTTGTTTACAATGTTTTTACTGTGAAATACAGATCTCACACAAAGGGATAAAGATCTCTCACAAAGAGTTATTACCTCTTTTATTCCCGATTAGACAATGAAAAGATTTCCGGCGGGGATTACGAAACAAGCATTCAAGTGGGTCGGCCATATTTGATCCGCGGTTCTGTTAGTCCGCTGTTCTGTATATGCTCTCAGAGAACCTATTACTATATATTATTTCGTGTTTGTCGATGTCATGCTGGTCAGTTGCATAGGTGTTGGATACAGTGCGTTTTAACATTGCTGCTTCTCTCCCTAACGCCCTCATCCGACCGTTATCCTAAGAGTCTATTTCAAAACATTATCACGCCCTTTGGACAAGAGAAATTGTTGGAAATGTACATCAGGATTTTGAAAACATGGGATCCGTAGGTGCAAGGAAATGTTCAATTTATTCACTTGTTTTCTGATCCGTCTTTCCTATAGCCTCGGTTAACCATTTTGCTAAATGTCAAACTTTATATACATCCCACTTGTGTCATTTGGGAACGTGCAGTTCTGTATTAAGTGAAAAGAATGCACAAAGAGATCGCAACGGTTATTGCAATGCGTTTTTGGGGTTAGCCACATGATCGTATAGACCCATTCTTCTCATCAGCGAGCGTGACAAAGATATTGATCTTTATTTCAATAAGCTGGACATCCAAAGGAATGTTTACCTGTGTCCTTCATCTAATAAACAATAAGTTTAACAGAAACAAATTGAAAAGTGTTTTCCTTGCTTCTCAGGCAAATCTTTCCTTTTTTCGAAAAATCAGAAGGGTACTGTCCTTCTTTAAACGATAGGCCTATCTAACTTCCGACAACCAAAATTTAAGCTGTGTACACCCCCCCCCCCCAAAAAAAAAAAAAAAACTTTGTCAGTAGCAGCATCCTTCAAGCATTGAGAAATACTACGCGTGAGAAAAACGAAAAACGTTTGGGAAAAGGTAAGGGCAAAATGACCAGCCACTATGAAAGCAATTCTTGATGTCAGGTTTGCATAACAGATAGCTAAACAGGCAGACGGACATAGAGCCAACCATCCATCCAGACAGACAGACAGACAGACAGAGCAGCCGGACTATAGTAACCATTAAAGGTGCAATATCAGATACAAAGTGGTGCCCAGTTCAAACACTAGATCTAAAGCATTTTACAATACAAAAATAATTTGCACATGTTTTCCAGTCGTAGGTTTTATACTATAAAAATGACAAGACACTGTTAATAGATAATACAAGAACATGTCCCTCCTTCCTACTTCCCTCACTGAGACCCTGCTCCTCAGTTGTACTGTCGCACTGGTCACAAGAACTCGGATCTTTGTCAATTGATGACTCTTCCCACGTCTCACGTTTTTTTTTTTTTTTTTTTTTTTTGTGTGTGTGTGTTTGTGTGTGTGTTTGTGAACGTGCGTGTTTGTGTGCATGAGTTTAAAATTATCGGTTATATACTAAGCTTTCATTGCATATTGAATCGACTCTGTAACTGTTTGGAGATTCCCGGGGTATTTCATGAAAGATTTAAGAAATCGCCATTTCGCTCCGCACTTTCAAAAGGAATTTCTTTAAATGGTATAAGGTTTTACGACACCGATTTAAAAGGACGTTGGTCCTTTAACAAGAACAAGATATGTTGAAATTGGTAGCTGTATAACGTAAAGTAATGCGTCAGATGTTTTCCGATGGGTTCCACCTGCAATTGACCTTTGACTCCCTGAATCTGTGTAAACAGTTTTATTTAAGACAAATTGTTGCGACACGGTGACGTTTAAGGTGACGAAGATTCCATTGATAGTCTCTTCTACGCTAAATTCTAGCGTCTATACATCAGAAAGCTATGCAGCCGTATCAAGCAAAAGAGAATTTGATAATATGTGATTTATGGCAAACTGACTCTTTACTTTTTTTTAAAGTACAACGGGTTTTTTTTATTGGGGAGAAATACATCATTTTAAAATGGATTTTGATCCCACTTTCAATACTTTATCACAACTTCATATTTTCCGTCCATTCAAAACTCGTGTTTGTCATAGCACAAACTTTACGGGATAACAAATCTTCGTATCAGATTCAAGTCAACAATAAAAACACTGTAGCAACACAAAAAATATAATAAATTCCATACCCCCTGTACTAATATTTCAGAGATTATTACAAAAAAGCACTTTAAAAAACAATAACAATTCACTTATTAAAGGTCGGGACAGATCCATTAGCCATTGGTAAAAATCGTCGTTCACCAGGAAAATCCGTTTTATGGCACTTTTACCGTCAAAATAAAGAGTTTTGTTATCATTTAGGGATTACATTGGGATCGTAACATGAGCTTAAGTATTGAAGTAGCAGTGTACCAAACCCAAAGTCCAAACATAGTAATGGAATTTTATCTGTCTAAGCATAACCAAAATGATATTTTCTTTTTTTTCTCTTTTTGTAGACCTAACTAATAGCAATGTCGCTCGCCATGTTTTGCCCGCTTGAATCAGTTCCGTACGAATAGTTCAATAAAGGAAAAATCGTCTGCCAGATGCGTGCCACAACTGCATTGATTGTCCTTACAAAAGCCACATAAAAATATCACCGTGCTATTGGGTATTTCGTTTCTGGCAGCTTGTAATTTTTATTCGTTTTTTGGCATAATTGAATGGTTTGTAATTGCCCCAATATAGCATCATTGATACAAATCTCCCGATGCTGGTTTAGATAATTTGATTTTTTACTGATTTAAGTATTATTGATTCCTCCCACACATTGGTTTGTCTGGGCGCAGAGGAGAGTTCGAGAAACTCGACAGAGGAGCATGAGGAACTTTAAAACCGACTAAAATAGGCCGTCAAATGAAAAATCAGATGACCAAATGAATTAATTATAACCAGTTTTTTTGGAAGGGAAATTGATTAATGCCTCACGCCTTGCCCAACACCCTCTGGAATTGGCAAAAAGAGTTTTAAGTATTGGGGCAGAGGTGCATTATGCATATAACGGAGCTTAGGATACAAATGTGGCTTGTATAAATATTTATAAATAGGTTAATGCAAAACAATTAGTCGTGGGTGTAAAAATCGACAGCACACAATATACTGTGCTGTGTAGATGTTCACTAAAACATGCCTTTTTGTAGTCAACAAATATCTCTATTTGTCCTTTCGTACTTCAAACACTACACAGATTTTATTGTCAAGGCAACATACACTTAATATTAGCAGTGCGAGTTGTATTTTTGTATATGTGATCTACTTGTTTTACCCTGTACTTTTACCTTGTGTTTTCTTTAGAGGATGCTTGTTGTAGCCAGTAATTAATGTCAGCCTCTTATTTAAAGGAACGACAAAATCTTGAGTAAAACGGATATTTCTGTCAACTAACAGTACACAAGGCAGGGTGATTAAGGTCCGTTTTCCTGGAGTTACCGCAAGGAAACTCGTCATTGTGATCATCTCTCTGACGATGGGGAGCCCCCACGATTTTGCAATGAGTTGTTCACGTATATAAAGATAAAACATAAGGAAAGTGGGCAAGATGGGGCTGCGATTTTAGAAAACAAGAGGGGACCCTGTAAAGACACATCATTGGCCACAACGGGACAAGCGTAGTAAAGATATATTGTGTACAGGTAAAGCACTGAAAGCGCGTTTGAATATTTTGTTTGCTTGTGGGCGCATTTCCTCCTGTTTGTTAAAATTAGTAGAACTTAGAGGCATGGTGGGTGGATAGTACTTAGTGC